ATATTTTTATGTTTATATAACAGTAATTAATGTATTAACGTACGAATAATTATACTACGTATCATCAAATTAATTACATAAATAAAATTGTATTATATTAAATGTATTTAATATGGTGATAGAACATTTCTGTTAACATTAACTACGACTGTCATGAAGGTATAGCACTGATACTTTTTTGAAACAATATTATATAATGATTTACATTATTAAATCTAAATTTGGTAATTGCCCTTACGCAATCGAAACACAAGAGATAATTATCCGTGCGTTAATGTACTTAAACATACTTAGCATTTGTAGCTAAAACAACAATGTAAACGAATACATTTTATCAACCATTTACTAAATAGTAAGCATGCATATCCAAATATTTAAAAAAAAAACAGTTTCATTTCCAATTTGCACGGATTAGTTTCTTCTTTTAACATTCAAATATGAAGACACCGTTCACATGTGAAAAACATATTCGTACATAACATGTTCGTTACTCGAAGAATATTGAAAGTTACTTCTTCCTGCGAGAGGCATTTAAAAAATGTTTCAATTACTTCGATAATATAGCACCTTGTTTCTCAAATTTTTTAAGCCATCATCAGCATGTATCGTTTCAGGTGTCATAGACTACTTGGATTACAAAATATGTATATCTAGCGTATTCAAAATGAAAAATTACTGTCACAATTTGCATAGTTGCAAGCAAATGTATTGGGACATTCTAAAGTTCTCAGTCAATAAAATAACTAGCTGAATGACTTTGGTGATTACGTTTAGAAATATTTGAAATCACCTGATACAACTGTCACGACCTGATTAATGTTGTCAGTTACAGTCGTGATAATCATACGTAGCTGAAACATTTCAGAAATCGTTGTTATAAATCAGCATATATCTGTAGAAACATAAATAATCTGTAATATACCTGTGTTACTTTGACTTGCTTATTTTTAATAATACGTTTTATAAAATAAAATGCTGTATAATGTACTTGAAGTGGTCTACCGATTTCTTCAATTCCTTAATGAAAAAGGAAAATTAAGAATCAGAATATTCTTATTATATAAGACAAATTACCTATAGGCTAACCATTGAAAAACTATGGATTTACACCATATACAAGTACATTACAATTTCTATGATTAAGCAATAAACATTGTATCATCGAATTACCAGATAATACAATATGATAATATTAATGATCGTAACATAAAAAATTCGAAATATTAAATTTACATTCACGTATTAAAAGAGTATCAGAACAATTTTCAAAGTTTATGTAATTATTGAAAACATCTGTAATACAAAATCACGTTGAATAATTGAGAAAAAGAATCGTAGTTACTTCAAAAAACGTAGCTACTTTAGTATAAATCGTACTTATATTTCTTAATATATTTTATAATAATTGTACAAAAGTTATTGTTTTGTTCAACACAATTTACAAGCAACGAGTTTTCAGTCACTATGATTTATTGGACCCTCCATACACTTGTCGTCTTTACTCGCAAATAATTTGATATCGAATATTATATGTATGTTCGTTGTCATTTTTATTATTTTGAATATTTTGTGCCATTGCACCCTTCAATTTAACTTTTGGTACGTGCACAGATGCCATCAAACGTTTATGTGAAAATCGGCGCACTCGTATATATTATTTGTGTTATTAGTAATATTGAACGTGATTTGTGTTCGATAGTTCCACAGTTGCAATGATGCCATTTTTTATAGTAATTTGTTAGCACCTTCGGCTATATTTTGGTCGGTACTACATGTTCAACATCGATCGAAAGTCTAAACATAGTAAATATAATAAACGAAAGCCAACGGTAAAACTGAAAAATCATCTACTATGTACTACCTACTTCCGTCGAGTATTGTTTATTCGTTAATTAACAAAGTAATATCGCATATCATAAAATGAAAATAAACAATCTAGCTGTTTCATTAACGAAAAATATATTGTTCTTACTTGTTTCAACGAGGGCAGACACATAGTCGGCTAAACATTAAATGCATAAGAAACATGAGTAGCTATTTAGAAAGAATACATTGTTTGTTCTAAAATTAAAAAACGGTAGTTTCGATGTTGGAAATAGAATGGAAATATTTGCGACGTGTATAAATAACGGTTATGTAATATTATTTGTTGTTGATGGTTTTAACGTAAATTTAGATATTTGTTAATGTGGTGACTTACATAAATCTGTTACGCCTGAATTTCTATCTTCGGCACATGGAAAATGACAAGTTTGACCACTAGTTGCCGATAACATTCTCGTTTGTTGTTTATAAAATTCTTAATTTATTCTGATAGAGTAATTACGTCTCTTCTAATTATCTATCTTATGTTCCAAGCAGAAAATAAACGTATTAATACTCCAATACTAACGGAGCAATTTGAGAAATATTTCGTTTCATTTCATTTTGCATATTCCACCATAAAACTTAGAATGTATAATTTATTTAAAAACACTATGCTAAAAAAGGAATCAAGAATTTTTGATATAGTAATGTATTGAAAAACTGTCAAAATTCGAGTAAAATATAAAACGTTCATTTAATAATTTACATAGGAAAAGTGTCTTTAAAGTTTAACTTACCAAATACAAAATTTATTGATTGAATGTTTTCTTTATTTGTACGAATATCAATACTTTCTTATTAATTATATAACAATAAACTTTTGGTAATATTAAAAATATATATTGTCTACACATTTGCAAATTTTCTGCTTGGAATATACGAGGATACTGCTTTATTATATTAACTTAAGTATTAAAAGTTTCTTTATCTAAAAGATGAATTAATTGAAAACAGCTTACGGATTAGAACATTGTGAGACAATTATGAACTAAGAAAATAATAGAGTAAATGAAAAGATCAAATTTTAATGGCGTATTTCGTATTCGGTGTTTAATGTTAGTTACACTTTTTATATTTTAAAGTGTTAATACAAAAACGAAATTGTTCTTGTAATATTACCTATGTACGTTTTATTCGATTAAATAGTTAGTCGGTTTGTTATTCGATAATTTAACGTAATGTTGGTTATTGTCTTTGCTAAAAATTGTTTAAAATTTGTTATTTCTACCTTAGCATGGTGAATGTAAAAAATGTAGGGCAATATGATTAATTTGATTAAATAATGTAATTCGCCAGTTACTTTTTCTGAAAAATTAAATGGTTTATTGATCTAAAATGTTTTCTCTTTAACTTATATACTATTATTAAAGGTCCTGTGCAATGTTAAAAGGAAATGGTAACACCTAAATAAATAACACTGTTGGGATTCTATTAATGAAGGTCGTATGAACTGTAATTATTTAATGAAGTCTCAATGTTGGTATATGAATGCTGTCATATTATGATAAACATTATTGAGAAGTGAAACTTTTCATAATATTTACAAAGGATAAGAAGACTTATAGTTACGAATTTTGGTAACAAATTGAACATTCAAGTTCTTTGTAGTCTTTTTACAATCATGCAATAATGAAGATAATTACTTTTAGTGTCTAGGAAAAGCATTAAAAAGAAATATATATATATAAAAGTTTTAAGAATATCTTCTTGGATGTAGTCGAAGAAGTATGGAAAGGGTAACAATTTGTAACATTTAAAACGGCAATTATTAGAAGAGAAATACATTTTACCTGATCTGTGCTAGGACTCCTCGCTTTGTCATCGTTCTCTCGTTTCAAATCGTCTTGTCGCTTAGGACTGCGAAGCACGCGTTGACACGGATCTGAGTTACCACCGATGTCCGCTGTGCTCAATACAACCAAAGAAATTTTCTGCACGATGTCTACTACTACCAAACCAGTCTCATTTCCGTAAGCCATTCTAAAATTAAATAATTATCATTTTGAATTATTTCTCAATTTCCGTGAAATAAATGTGATATTGTGAAATACATATAATAAAGTACCAAAAATCCGTTACATTTCACAACAAAAATTTGCCTTTTCTGTTCAAATTCTTTACATTTAAAAAGATGAATATTCAATGTATCTATGGCATTTCTCATGAAAGAGACGTGCTTCCGAAATTTATATGTAATATTTAAAAAAAGGAGAAATAAAAAGAAAGAAAAGTGTTATATACAAATGTTACTTTTGAACTTCCTCGAAGACAGAGCAATGAAGACTAAGAATAATATAATAAAGAATATAAAAAGTTAAACATAATTTTGATACTTACAGTCCATAGGAAGTGTTCAAACTAAGGGATGTTATATTTTCAGGCTGTTCTCCACTGGGAGCAACCGTTAAGCAGATCAGTGTCGCTTGAAAGCCTGCAGCTCGCTTCTGTAAACCACTCTTAACTTTTAGTGGTTGATTCGTTTCAGAGTTTTTAGTTTCGCTACTTCCTGAAGTATTACCAGCCGGAGAGTCGTGATCCGACGAGCTTTCCACCTCTTTCGCTTGATCCGGCGTCAATGAGATGTCCAATGTCTACAGTGGATATAAACAAGTTTTTCTTACACTCCAAATGGATCATCATAGAAAAATGTGATTAGAACAAAATACTATAAAAATGGTACTGTAAAATTAAAGTATTCGTAACGTCAACCTTAACAAAATATTGTTAACTACTAAAATATTGTTAACTACGCGTGTAGTTAAATAAAGAAAGCGTCACACTATGGCCACTCATTATTACTAACGTATTGATTGAAATTTGTAAGGGATTCCACAAACAAAATGCATAATATCAATATTGTGGCAGGGAAAGTTAATCACGCAAAAATAGCAAAAAGATTTAAATGAAAAATTCAATGTTTCTTAAAATTACTTCCTTAGGATCCTACCCTGCACGAAGCTTACCGCATCTACAATACAATTATTTGTTCAAAAGTATTTCTATAATAAGTGTTTAAGATATCATTGCGTGTATAAGATACACAATGTCTAGTACTCTTCCAGGGTAATAAATGTTATTAATAGTTACGATAATAATCGAAAGCGGTTGGGGAATAAAAAAATAAATTACTTACCACTACCTCAGACATACTCTCTACTTTTTTGAATTTAAACAAAACAACGTGTTTTCCGCTCCCTGCGATCGCTAACTTCCGACTTTCGGGACATAGGAAGATCAGTTGTATCGCCAATGGATCTTCTTCTGAGTCTATACTACGCGTTCTACCTTTTTCAAAAAGTTTCGCCGTCTTCAGTTTGTAAAGAACTTGTAAACTACCCGCAGACGCGTCCCAAAATTTTATACTGCCATCAGCGTGCCTATAATAAAAATATTTTCGCTCTGATGTCTCGTTCAATATTCCACGTAATAAAATGTTATCCTATATAACTGATCAGATCATTTCCGAGACAAAATTTATATAATATTGTATATTTAACAATGTCCAACTTTCGTTATTGTTTTATTATTTAAAAAAAAATTTTTTTAATTCAAAACACTCAGTGTTTAATATTAATCTATTACTGTTTTAAAATCAATGTTGAACTTACAAATAGTATTTTTTATACAATTAAAATATATGTTTATAATACTTTTAATGTCACTACTATTTTATTATAGTCTGGTAACATTTTAATGTACTGGATCCAAGTTTTCTACAATTCAATTTAATAGTTCCACGTTCGATACTTTGCCAACTTTAAGTACTTACTTACCCCGTGACAATAATTTCATTATAACTACTTGAGCTCGAACTCCATTCTCCGCCGGATATCGGCCAATCCTTTTCACTGAACCCTGTCTTTTTCTGTGACTTGGATCCGACTGAATAAAAGGCAGGTACTAAATCCGATAGACAGTCGGCGAAGTATGCACAGCATGTCACCGGTGACTCATGTATGTCCATCGGGTACGGATTTTCGAAACACGGAAATCCGGGAGTTAATAAATCTATCACAACCAAATCGTTTTGCAGCAGAACCACAACAGCATATGGATCCTGATAATCTGTACAAAAAATAAGTGGAATTATTTATTACCATTTGAATAATGTAATTGGAGTGTTAATATGTGCTGTGTGGAAGAAACAAATCAGCAAAAAATAATAAAATATGAACTCTAGAAAATGTAGTTAAACTTTTTACTTTATCGTTTACTTATTAGTTGCCACTTGTTATTACGTAGTAATTTACATATGCGTGGAATGTGTCAGAAATGTTTCAGAAGACTATCCGAAATTGTAAATCAAAATTATTGTAAATGGAAGACTTTAAATTATTATATAAAATGATCTATGAAAAGAAATCAAGCTATTTGAGGCCATATAATACTCATTAAGTAGATACCCAGTTATATGCATATTTAAGTGGTTTAATAAAGATGAAGGTTCATAAATGTCCATTTTAAGCCAGACATTTATTTCAGGATTCCAGAAAAGATATTTCATACGTATGTTTTCTATTTTAGTACGAATTTAGCAAAGTGGGAAATTCTTGAATTTCCCTGAACCATTTTTGTCATACGCCATTAAGTGTGTCTTTTTCAGAATTAATATCTAAATCTATGAATGAATTAAATATTCCCTATTTGTTTCAATGAATATTAGATATTTAAAACTTTTTCAAAGATTTTTCATACTTTCTAGAATTGTTCATGCAGATAAATTAAAGGAAAAATTGTAAAATAATTTTATATACCACTGGTCCATGGATTTTCACACAGCGTTATGAAGTCTATCACATTGTGTTCCATTTCTAATACAGTAGTAGTTTTCCCGTGTATAACAGTTATGCTTGGAGTTCGCCCAGTCGTATCGTACGCCAAACCACCGGAAAATATAACGTATGCCTCCCTAAGGAAATAATAAAAAGTACGATATTAACCGATACTCGGTGTACTTGTCAGAGTAAAAGCTTTCTCCAAGATTGCTGTACGTATTACTTATTTAAAACTTTATTCAAACATTTGCAAATAGCGTAATAAAGTTCTTGTTAATTTTAAATGAAAATTTTTATCATCAATTTTTAATTAATCAATTTTTAATTATAATCATAACCGATTATAAGTTTCGCCAGTAGTACTTATCAGTTAAGCCCTCTAAGAAACTCAGTTATTTCAAATTTTGAAAATCGATACTTCTGAACTTACTTATAGACAACGAATAAGAAAGATAGATATTATAATAACTCACCCTGATCTGGAAAGCTTCCATTCGACTTTCTGAATTGCTTTGCATGGTTCTGGTTCACCATCCTTCGTAGTTTTTGCTGTAAAAAGTATATATGCGATCGTGCTGGTCATAGTAACAAACAAGAAATATCTTTTGCATTTCAGCAGACAAATTTTACTGTTCTGATTGTATAGTACATGTATGTATATTGTAACATCACAAAAACTTAACGTTTTTTCTCGAAAACGGAATTCCAAACGAACAAAATATTATCTTTCTTCGCTAATATTTTCTTGCGCTATATCTCCATCGATTATATTACCTATATGTAATCATGTCACCTAAGTACACATGTACTCTACAAATTTTCAACTTTTCTTTCCTCAGAACAGAAACTGCAAATAAACAAATCTTGTTCTGTATGAAAAATTCATTCTTTCTCGGGGAATCATCTTTTCGAATACAGCACCATTTAAAAAATGCCTCGTATAAAGAGAATATATTACAACCTCAATACAGAAAATACTCGATATCATCGAACATTATCGCGCATACACATCGATGGAAAAAGAAGAATTGTTTTTTACCGTGGGGGTGCGTGACATTTGTTGGTTTCACTTGGCGCACCGTCCATGTTGACAGAGAACCGTCGGTGTGACTACACATAAACTGTTTACCCTCGTGATGCCACGTTATCGATCTCAACGGTACATCGCTTTGGCATCTGTAATCTGCGTTCTTCGTTTTCAAATCCCAAAAAACGATCTGTCCCGAATCATATCCTATCAGCATCTGCAAGCAGAATTGAGGATCGTGAACGATGCGGCGCGTGCTGTCTCACGTTCGGCGGAACTGTTTCTTTCCTAAACGTCTAGGCTAAGGAAAAAAGTTCTGAACACGAATGTCTGCAATAAAAATGCAATGTCATAATACAGTCGCATCGTTTCGCATCGTAAAAATTATAATACAAGTTACGTATACACAATGAAAAACGGTGATGAGAATGCGGTGCAGAATGATCCTTAGAACTTTAATGGGATACCATATTTTCAGTGTAACGATCGATAACACGCAAATTGCATCAAGAACTGTAATATGAGGGGAGTTGACGAGTTTCTAACGCAACGAGAACGTCTAGACGATTTAATGGGATCGTGCATTTCTGCTGCCGATACACATGACACTGACACGTGGAGATTAAACAGTGAGAGTTTAATTGGAAATTCCAGGCTGTACCTTCCCCTCTTCTTTTTTTATTTGCTTTATGCTACTTTAACGTTAGGCTGTACCGAGCGACCTACAAAAAGGGCCGATATAAATTGCAACGAGCGGTATTTAAGAGGTGCAACAAATTTATGTCTTTAATGGAACTCATTATGAATATTTTCTATTTTTATTTACGTTTCTATTCACGTAATTCTATAAATATTTCGTTAAAAAATCCTATATACCTTGTTTTCTTTTTCAAACAACCTGAAATAACCTCTTTTCATAGAAAAACGATACAGAATTCACTCGTACTAGTTTTCATAAATATAAAAGCTACTTCTTGGAGAAATAATGACACGTATTTTTTTGTTTTCAATCGTTCACATTTATAAGGTAAATTACCAATTACTGACGAATTATCCAGCCTTTATCTATAGATAATTCTGTATAATTCAACATCAAAGCAGTATCGAGTGATAAAACATTCGATATGTATAGAAAGCATCAGCTGCGTGTCGTGAAAGTCGTACTTCTATTCAAAATATTCGAGAGTTTTTCAAAAATAACTCTACCATATCTGAAAGATATTATTGGATATTTTTGTTACATACAATCAACTTTTTCGAAGGGTGTACCATTAGTTCACTGATACTTTGCACATTCCACCCTCACGTAGCGTTCAGGTCGATTTAATCCGAAAGCAAAATTATGTTTTTAATGTGATTTATGTTTCAAAAATATGTTAAGTCATTGAATATCAACAGCTTATGTGTATCGTAATCGATTTCATAATTGTATGTCAACGTTGCTCCAATGTAATTCAGAAAATATTCCAGTAAAAATATCCTGAACAATACGCGAGAGATTGGACAAGCAAAATTATGAATATATGAAAGCAGAAATCCTTTGATCATCATGTATTCGTTATACGAATAATATTGTTCCTCGGCGGACGTATACAAACACAATTAGATATTAATGGAATCACGTTAAGGACGAGCCACTGCAGAACGTATAAAGGGATGAGTGATTATGGTCACGAGATAATATTATCGTGTAACTCGTTCTAGCTTCTGTAATTAAAATGATATCGCTATGTGTACTAAACTGATATAAAATTAGGGGGGACAAAGAGGGAAAAGGATGAAGACGTTATTCAAACATACAAACGTCTTATACAAATGAAAATGCTATCTAAATAACGTTATTCGTAAAATCACGAGAATAACTTGAACAC